GTGTGTGTGTGTGTGTGTGTGTGTGTGTGTGAATGGCATGGATGGGCCGGCCAGAGGACAGCAGAGGAATGTGATGCTTTTGTCTGTCCGGGGGAAGAGAGGCTCGGGCTGGAATGCCATTGATGACAACGGACAGAAAAAAAACGAGCCTCCAGGAAGTTTTCTCTCACTCTGGCTCTCTGTGAGAACCTCTCGCTGTCATTCTGAGCCGCTCTCAGATGCTCTGGTCCCATGAACACAACCACTGCATTGTGTAAGCCGTAAACACAGCATCCACAAACTACAGCCGACCTCCCTCTCCGGACGAGTGAATGAAACGCATTCCTGCTTACATCCGAGTCTGAGAAAAATCATTGTGTCTGTGCTGATGTCAGTCAAACAACCGATTATAGTCCTCTTTGTTTACTGTTGATTCAAAAAGCACTTTCACTAACCTGTGAAGCACTAACAAAATGATTGAAAAATTGTCTAATTTGTGATTTAGCTACACCCTTAAAAGAAAAGATCAAACAAAAATGAAAATGAAAATTATCTGAAAATGTGCTCATCCTCAGGCCATCCAAGATAAGGATGAGTTTGTGTCTTCATCAGATTTGGAGGAATGTAGCATTGCATCAGTGTCTCAGCAGTGGATGCTCTGCAGTGAATGGGTGCCGTCAGAATGAGAGTCCAAACAGCTGATAAAAACATCACAATAATCCACAAGTAATCCACACCACTCCAGTCCATCAGTTAACATCTGGAGAAGACAAAAGCTGAAACTAATCCAGCATTAAGACGTTTTTAACTCAAATACGAGTCCATAATCCATAATCCACGCTTCCTCCAGTGAAAAAGTCCATCTCCTGTTGTCTCTCACATCAAAATCCATATTTGTTTAGAGCTGTTTTGGCTTGTAAACGCTGCTTGATCTGTGCAGATTTCTCTCCTGATTCAGATGAGACCGCTTTTTCACATATTTTAGCCAGTTTGAAGTTTGAACATCTTAAAAATGGATTTGTTTCTTACAAACACGCAGCTTTTGTCTTCTCCAGATGTTAACTGATGGACTGGAGTGCTGTGGATTACTTGTGGATTATTGTGATGTTTTTATCAGCTGTTTGGACTCTCATTCTGACGGCACCCATTCACTGCAGAGCATCCATTGCTGAGACACTGATGCAATGCTATGTTTCTACAAATCTGTTCTGATGAAGAACCATTTTTGGTTTCCCAAATGAACAGTTCTTAAATGTATTTCTTAATGTGAAGAACCTTAAAGAACCTTCTGTGCAATGAAAACCGAAAGTGCATCAATGCCAATAAAAAAAATCCCTTTAACTATTCGAATTGTCAGATAAAACTATGTCCAGTGTGAAAGAGCAGCCCAGATGAACTAATACAAGAGGAATCCAAACCTCCGAGTATTGTCAGAACAGCCTGCTTAACCAGTCCTTTAGAGAAGCTTCAAATGGCTCTTTCAAAGCATTGGACAGCTGGAGTTTGGGCAAAAGGTGACCTGAACAGTTGCAGAGGTCACGAGATGAGCAGCTGCAGCTCCTGCTCACGTCTGCGCTGCGCCTACAGGATCAACAACAGTTTGAGTGTTCGTACAGAAGAGCCATCCCAAAATAGCCCTGTAACTCTGTTCTTCTGCTGCTTCTACTCACAAAACGTGTCAACTGCAGTTCTGTTGTGTGAAAACCACTGCATGCTGCTTTGTTTCAGTCACACTTACATTTATCCATTTAGCAGATGTTATTCATTGAATTCTTACATTAGAGGTGATGCCAAGCAAAGTTACAAAGCAGGCTGGAGATGCAGGGGGGGTTGGATTTTTTTCCTACATTTTTCATT